TAAGAGTCTTGACAGCTGAACTTTAGGTTGTTACTTATTTTGAGAATGAAGAACATTGTAGCAGAAATGCTGAACTACTTCTAGTTTGCTTTTCCTCTAGGTGAGATGGTCAGTGCGTTAAAAGGGCTGAGACCCCAGTCTGGGCAGCTCTGTCCCTGGGTGACAGAAGCTGCTGGCCATGCTCAAGCTGCTTTATCAACTATTTCTGTGTGATGGGAAAATGTGCCTCCCTAACAGGACTAAGATGCTTTTGTTCTCTTTGTTTATGTCAGCAGAAAAGTTGACATCTTTTCAGGGTTGGGGCCAGTGGCTTGATGTGTAAGGCACTCTATAAAAACTAATGAAAACTAACATTTATGAAAAATTTCATCCATGAGCATATTGTTCTCAGTACCGATCTGGAAGGTGATGTTTGTGCCAGACTTGGTATTTCGAGGTATAAAAGAGAGAGGTTAGTAAAAGCCTAAAAGTAGGCTGACTTTTGCAAAGCTGCTGATATTTTCATATGTTAAAATAGGTACTTTATAAAGAAGTCAGTGATGGTGTAGTTGTACCAATAGTTTGTTCAAAGAACTTATGGTTAGCACTGCAAACTAGATGTGCCCCACACCATGTCATGTCACAGAGGAACTGCAGGGCCGTTTCCTCCCAGTACACGGCCAAACATGACCCACTGTAGGAGCAGTTTTCTCCTGCTCCCCCTGCACAGACGGATCTGTGTGGGAGGTTCTGAGGTCCCGGGGCAGGATGGCAGCAGGCAGCAAGTCCAAAGCTGGCCATGTTGCCATGGAAGGCTCAGCTCAGCCTGTGGCCATAATTGGTCATGCTGGGTGTGCGCAGACAGTGAACTGAGAGTGCAGCTGAAGAGCTCTTGCAGGATCAGAAATAGATTGCACGTTGGTAATGCCTTTGGGCACAGTCCTGCTGCTTTCCCACCCTGGGTTTCAGGCTGGCTTTGGAACCACAGCAGTCCTTCATCCCAGATGTACCTCATTGCTGCTCAGGAATGGGCTTGCAGATGGGAGCTCCAAATGCTACCTTGCACATGAGAGCTCTTATGTGCTGAAGGAGTGGCATCAGAGCCTGACTGTAGAAGGACGTGTCATTTTGTAAGGAGAGGGAATGGCTTTGTGGTTCCTGTTAGACATCCATCCCGTGCAGGGCTGACATTAGAAAGCAGCTAATGCACAATAGCCACGCTATCTCAGAACCTCAGACTCCTATACCAGCAACTTTTGCATTTCCTGCTCCCAGGAAAATAGATACTTTCCAGAATTTCTTAATATCCATTTTGTCATTGTCCCTGTCAGAAAACTGACCAACAGTTAGCTGGGTGTTTGTTTTTCCTTCTAAGCTGGAGTGATAACTACTTGCTTGGTTTTGCTCACAGCAGTCTAAATATAGCCTAGGGCACTTCTGAGGTGTAGTTTGCATGAAGTCATGACTTTATTTTTCATTTTTGAGCATGATAGGCCTTCTCCATGTGTGGAGTCATACTATCAGTGCTAAATAAGCCAGAAAGACCAAAGTAAGGTATGTTCTTAGACCCCAGAACTGCTTTTCTTAGGCCAGGCAATTGTTGAAAAAAAACCACCCTGATTTTTTCTGGCATAATTAACCATCTTCATTTAGTCACTGAGAAAAATACAAAATTTGGGTGCCACTTTTAGAGTTTTTGTTTGCCTGACCCCTCTTAGGTATTTATCTACTTGCAAGATAGTAGTAATTCTCTGTACCTTGCTTTTCAGGACAGTGTGAAGGGTGGTAAATTACTCTTTGGTAGTGTGTTTTCATACAAGCACCAATTGCCAACTTCTGTTGTCCCAGGAGATGCAAAGGCAATGCATTTGTGTCTGTACATCAGCCAGTCCACTTTTGTCCTTTGTCCTTTCAGGTTTATGGCCACCAACGACCTGATGATAGAACTGCAGAAAGATTCAATAAAACTAGATGAAGACAGCGAGAAAAAAGTTGTGAAAATGCTTTTGAAATTGCTGGAGGACAAAAATGGGGAAGTACAGAACCTTGCTGTCAAGTGGTAAGAGCCTGGGCAGTAACTGCCATGTTCCCTGTCACTAATAAAGCCATTACAGAGGACGTGAGAGCAGAGCCTGGCCCTGGGCACTCCCTCAAACCTCCCCTGCAAGGGGCTCTGCCCTCTCACAGGGCACTGCGCTTTTTCAGGGCTCCAGAAAGGTGGGCCATTTAAAGACAAATTTAGGTTCCTCTGTTTTTCCTTCTGTGGATCCTATTTGTATTCCCTTCTTTTTAACCATATGCTACTTTTATCCCTGTCCTTTCTCATTGACCTTTACCCCTTTCTTTTTGATTCCCATGGTCATGACATTTTCTGGCCCTGCTCCTGCCTCTGCCTGCTTTGGGCTGGCTTATTCTGATTTTTAAAGTGAAACAGTTGGGCCCTGAGCAGAGGACCGACTTCTTTGCCTGTTTATCTCTGATTGTATCAGCAGTAAGTCCACACTCATTGTGATCTCTCATCCATCCAGAATGTGATAATGAAGAGGCCTCAAAATGGAACCAGGAATATTTCCTTTCCATGCTTAAGGAGGTACTTACAGCAGTTAACGTCCAGTCAGTCATTCCCAGGCAGGTGGCCAGGATCTCTAAGAAGGAGAAATGTGATGGTTTGCAGAACACAGGCATTTGGATCAGGCCCTTCATCCTGACCAGCTTCTCCTCCCGCAGCCTGGGCCCGCTGGTTGGCAAAGTGAAGGAGTACCAGGTGGAGACCATCGTGGATACGCTGTGTACAAACATGCTGTCAGACAAGGAGCAGCTGCGGGATATCTCCAGCATTGGCCTCAAAACTGTCATCTCTGAGCTGCCACCAGCTTCCACAGGTACCCTGCCTGTCCCTGCTGGAGGAACAGGGAATCCCAGCTTTTGGGAAACAGAGGAAAATGTGGAGTTCAGAGCATAAAAGTTACCAATTCCTTACTTACCTGCCAGAGGACAGGTGAAATACAGAGGGGAGACAGTAGAAGCTGAGGTACCAATGTGATGAAAGATGGGTTGAAATGAAAACTTGAGCAGTGTTTGGAACTACTTATCCCAAAAACACAGCAGCGAACACCTGAGGTTCCTAGGGATAGGAGTTTCCTCTGCAGCCATCTCATGTGTATGTCCTGATAGGTCTCCTAGGGGGGATTTCTTTTTTCAGTGTAGGAGGCATTGAATGGTTCCCAGCAGCAAAAAGGCTCCTTTTTAACTGATAGGAGGGTAAAATCTCTCTCTTGCAGGCTCTACCATGACAGCAAACGTGTGCAAAAAGATCACAGCCCAGCTGACGGGAGCCATTGGCAAGCAGGAGGATGTATCTGTGCAGCTGGAAGCTCTTGACATCCTGTCAGATATGCTGAGCAGGTACCAGAGCATTTTCTTCTGGAGCTGTGCATTACACGGGGCTGCAGGGATGTGTTTGCTCTTGATTTCATTTCCCTAATCCTACTATTGGGACTTACAAACACAGTGTTTGGGTTGGCTGCCCCTGGGGAATATCTGAGCGGAGCAGGTCCCCAGCAGGGACAGGAGACAACACGCTGAGCCTTTCTGTGCTTGGGAATGGCAGTGCCACTGGTGATGGATCCCACAGGGACTCAGCTCACACAAACACGAGAGGGTGAGGGCAGAGCAGGGAGGTTTATTTTAGCCCTGTGATCCGATCACACATGCATTTTTTTCCTGGCTGCCTCTCTTTCTCTTGTTGCATAAGTCAGAGTGACAGTGTCATATGTCATCTGCATGCAGGAAATTATTGACAAACCTCCAGGTCATCCAGAAGGACACATCAAAAACTCCTCTGTCATGGAGACAAATAGCCTCCCCTTGTGCTTTACGGAACAAGTCAGTGTTCAGACCAAAATGCCAAACCCAGCGTTCTCCCCCTTCCCACAATGAGCATGAAGTCTCCATAACTGAAGGATTTTTACATTTGTTGCTGCCAAGAGGGCTTTTTCTCTGAGGCTTGGACTTTCAACTTTTGCCTTGTTGTGTTGATTGCAGACTGGGGGGAACACTCTACTCATTCCATTCCTCGATCCTGGCCTGCCTCCTGCCCCAGCTGACGAGCCCCAGGTTGGCAGTACGTAAACGGGCCATCATTGCCTTGGGGCACCTGGTCTTGACCTGCAGTGGAAACATCTTCTCAGAGCTCACAGAGCATCTGCTGGCTGAACTGAAGAGGAATGAGTCTACATCTACCACCAGGACATACATTCAGTGTGTGGCTGGCATCAGCAGGCAGGCTGGGCACCGCATAGGTAGGATGAGCAGCTTGAAATGGGACTGGGAAATGTATGTACATTTTAGAGCGGCTCCTCTTAGCGGTAAAAGAAGAGTGCTCACTGTTCCTGAAGTATTAGTGGCTTGTGCTTTGTGATTTCCTCTGTGATCCTGGCCTGGCTCTCTGGTCTCCACTTGGAAAGGAGGAGACACCAGAGTATCTCTCTGGCTGCCCTTCTGTAGCAGCTTCACCTCAAGATCTTGCAGTGCTTCCTTGGTCTGAATTAACACCTCTGTGAACTAGGTCAGTTGATTCACCCCATTTTTAATGAGAGGAGAAATGGAGGGCAGCATGCTGTATTACTTGTCTAAAAGACCTGTCTAAAAGAGTTGAGATTAGGTTCTAGAAGATCTCTAATCAGCTCTTCCTGTGACTGAAATGCCAACAAGTGGCTGCAGACAGGGAGCAGGGGTTAGCTTATGAAGATCAGCATGGCTGGTTTTGGCGGGCTCCTTGCCCATGAGGTCCAGGCCAGGAGTGCTCTGCCAGGCACAGGAAGGAAGTGGCAAGTGGACGAGCTGTCAGCTGCTTGGGTGAGTGAGGGCTGGAATGGTTTTTCACTGCTGCTTGCTTTGTCTTTCCCAGGAGAGCACCTGGAGAGGATCGTGCCTCTGATCGTTCAGTACTGTAACGTGGAGGATGACGAGCTGCGAGAGTACTGCTTCCAGGCCTTCGAGTCCTTCGTGAGGAGGTGTGTGCCCTTGGGAAGCACCTCTGTGCCATCCAGGGCATCCATGTCCTCCTGGTGTAAATACCCACACTTTCAGCATCCAGGGAGGAGGGCCTTACTGCACATGTTCCTGTGGGAATGACAGTTCACATATGAAATCTCTTCTGCACAGGCAGGGTTGGGCTGGAGTTATGAGCTGCTTTACCTCAACATGTGAGGGTGTCTTTCTGTACTGGTTTTGCAGGAGTGGGAGTTTCCTTTGTCCTTGGAGGGTTCCTCAGCTACAGGGAAGTGCCTCGCTCCTGGTCCATGGAGGGACCTGAAGGCAGGAAGGAGGCTCAGGAAGAAGAGCTGCTGAGCTGCAGCTCTCCAGCTATTTGGTCAAACATTTACTGCTTGGAAAAGGAGCCCTGCAGAGCTGCTGAGGTGTTCTTCCAGGAAGGGAGGATTCAACCAGGGGCTGAAGGCAGTTGATTTATTTTTCTGTATAGAAATTATTGCATCCTCCCAAGGGGAATATGGCTTTGCTTCGTGCACAGCAGGAAAGAGCATCTCTGGTTTAACTCATGTTAACAAAATGTTCAGATGGTCTGTGAAGCACTTTCAGATCCTTTTGAGATTAATTATATTATTTGCACATTTAAACCAGCTTAGTATTTGATTAACTCAGGGTTTTTATTTGTCCTGACAGGTGCCCAAA